GGGACCGAAACCTCTCTTGGGCGCCAATAGTGTTTTTGAATTAGACCATGATGTATCTAACTCTTTCAACTCATATTAATAAAAATATTTTCGTTTTCAGAATCCCAGACCATTGAAGATTTCGGTGCTGCATTACATCTAATGAGGTCGGACCTGGAACATCTACGCTCGGTATTCATGGCAGTGGAGAATGGCGATCTTGGCATGCTGAAATCTCTTGGCATTAAGGATTCGGAACTTGGCGACGTGAAATTCTTCCTGGAGAAGCTGGTGAACACAGGATTCTTGGACTGAATAGGACCGGAGTCTGCCTCTGATTACTATAACGTCGTCCAATTCGCCCCGTTAAGCTCATCCTTCTACAGCTACCTTCCTTACGACTCCATCAAATTTAGGAGAAAGTAAATCGTACCTTTATCTTCAAATCCGTGCGACTGTTGAATGTGTGAACTCATAAATAATATCTATAAACAACCACTTTCGAGAAATGATTTTGCAAATCAGAATTGACTTCTACAACCGGCCACGTAGACTTTTCTGATTCCATTAATCATTTCTCGCATCCCTATTGGCTTACAGAAACATAAGTTAGATAAAGAGGGTATTAATTTTCAAATAGATTAGGTACGTATATTTTTATAAACATATGCTTCATTAGGTTGTAAACCAAATTCGTTTTTTAGGTTATACTAAAGAGATTATCAGGGCCCAACACTCGCGTCTATCATTAAGTGTGAAATGAAAAGAGGCTAAGACTGTGGCTTTAGTGTTAAACTAGTCAAAGCTAAGCTTATTGTCGCATTCCACTTCATGATGACCCTGATAACCATTATAGCATGCATGTGGTTTTTGAATGTCGCCCCCTAAAATGAATCCTCCCTAACTTGGACTATGATCAGAGGCGACTCCATTGAAACGTCAAGCGTCCATTCTAAGCGAGATATAAAGCTAAAGTCGGTTGATATGAAGATGTGTGTCCTTAGATTAAATAAAAAAAATAAGAATCGTTGAAAGAATGCATACGCTTTATATCTGGCTTTTGGAAAAATCCAGAATAGGACCATGGAAACATATCATTGTAAACATAGATGTAGGTAAAAAATACATATCATAGAATATAATCTGTAGTAGATAAAGTACAATTATTTTAATATGATCGGTATTGTAGTGTACGACATTTTATAGACCCTTTTAGTATGTACTTTTTCGTCATTAAAGGAACTATATAACAAAATAAAAAGCATAGTTATAACGGTGCTGCACTTGAATCCAAATACATATCAAAATTAATGTGATTATTAAATAAATGTTAGATTTATTGTATGTTACTTATTTTAGAGTAATAAGTAGAAAAGAAATGACACCGTAGATATTAAATTCGATCCCATTAGATTCCAAATTCTATTGTCACTCGTTTTTAACATCTTAATAATATTGGTGTTGTAATGATAGAACTTTTGTCAAATGCGGGCTAATACGACAACGAATTATTGATAATGTCTCATTTCGAATGAGAGAGGTGAGGTACACGATGTAATATTGGGAGTTTAATGACAGGAAATATTATTATTGGCATTTGCAATCAAATAATTTGATGCCTGTTTTAGTAATTCGAACTTACAAAGTTATGAACACTGTCACTCGATTCTTCGATAAGTTAAAATCGAAAAGCGCGCGAAAGAGAAAACATGGCCGTTGCATGCAATGTTGCCAGATTATTGTTAAAATAAATGCAGCCTGTATTTGCCAGAAGTTTATACCTAAAACCACAATAGATCTTCTAGTATTTTCAATCGCCAAATCTTAGTCTCAAATCACAATGTTTCAGTGTGTACCTATCAGTAGTTAAATACATTCTCTCTCCGTTAGATCTAAATTCATGTTACTATTTTAGCTACCTATACGTAGTTAGTTTAAGACAATTTTTATGAATATCAATGGTTTTAGTAATATAGGTTTAATTTTAACTTGCGTCGGATTCTCTTAATATTCAACAAAATGGCGATCTTTGAACTCTGTTAGATAATATTATGTGTTTTGAAGTAAGTATAAATGGCTTATTGTTCTTAAATAACAAACCAATAAATGAATCATCTTGAATTTGAGTTTTATTTGATATTATTTTTATTTTAAACCCAAAAAGTACCCAGGCAAAGAAAGATAGAAATAAAAGCTAACAGCGCCGTCTACCCACCGGTTCTGAGTCTACAGCAAAACTTAGATACAGTGGCGCCACTCTTAATATGTCAATACAAATTAAATTACCCGGCACACGTAACTCAGAGCATTGAAAATAAAAAAAATACTTTATAGTTATTTCACCTCATTGAAAATAGGTTATCGCTATTTTGATTTATCGCTGTGATATTGATTTAAAGTTAAATTTATACACATATAAGTGCAACAGCATTAAAAAAGTCTTAGCTCCAAACCACTGTTCAAATAAAGAGCGAGTTTTTCAATGTTTTCTTTTGTTATATTCTCTCATATTGGTCTAAGTGTCAATAAGTTGCCATAGTAATCCATACTATATTTAATATCTTTTTGATAATGTGACCAAATGTTTATGTAGAGGAAAATTTTGCTGTCATCAAACCTTACTTAAAAATTGATTGAAAGATTTAATGTTTCAAAGTATTTAAATTTATTATAAATCTATCATTTTACTTATTGCAGATACAATCTTATTAGGTACCCTTAAGCTATCTAACATATTTACAGAAGTATTATAAATTATTCTATGTAATACTATAAAAGTACTATATAAATTTCAATATGGAATAGTTAACTATATAATCATAACATTAAACATTCATTTCATTCAACCACCAACTAGCAAATGAGCGAATCGTGCATGTAGCCTGGTGTGGAATAAACGAAAATTTAAAAAGATCTGGTACAAATCCCCAACTATGCCAACGCCATTTGACAGTTACTGTAACATATTTGAACAAATATTTCTTTATTTAAACTTGAATTTGAACTGACTATGTTCCTTTAAGGTCAAATTAGGTAAGACTTAATACTAAATTCCTGGACTGATCCACACATTTTTGATAAAAATATGTGTATTTTGTAACACAACTATGCCAAAAACTATTGAAATAAAACGAAAATACTTCTTTCGGTCACTCACTAGTTAGTTGTGCAGCCTATGGTTTTTTTTTTTTTGGAGGCGTTTTGTATAAATTATCTTCACGATGACCCAAAGTTTTAGCTAATTACCATTTTCTGGTGTTGCCAGGGTTGGTGCAAATAACTTACCATCAGGTTTTCCGTACGTAAAAATTACAAAAGTTATACTCCGTAACGTACTATTTCTACACTATTTTTATTGCAAATCAGTACTGTAAACCTTGTGCTATTTTTCATATTTTTATGAACTACTTAAAATTGGTTGTTTTGAGCTGAATTAAACCGGAGATTGGATCAGTGGTGAGCAAAAGTTCTTGAAATGAGAATAGATAGTGTGGCCCACAAATTTTAAAAAGCACCTACCGGGTTTATTTTTCATTAGTTAATTAAACTATTTGGCTCTTTATGGAAACGGTTTGCCCACCACTTATCTAAACGAATAGCACCTGAAGCTAACGTATATTCTGATTGGTTGAAAACAGTTTGAAACATTATATTAGGAAGGTACATTATAAACTTTAGCACGAAAGGATACTAGAAATATGCACAAATTTAACAATCTCATTTTATAAAGATACATTCAGTCCGAAAACGCTTTTAGCGACTGGTACACAGCATCTAAGTAGCTGCTATGTAACAGATAAAGAATACGGAACGTAATTTTTGTAAATTTTGTCACGCAAGTGTTTCTTGTTGGTTATTTATTTGGGAGTGGCAAAACCGGCTCTAATAATAATAATTAGTTGGTAGCTGAAGTAACTTCTAGAAAAAAGTATAAACTTTTGATTGTGGCAATTATGTCATGGCACTATTGCAAGTTAGCTTACCAGGGATGCTTTCAGTCAGGCCACTAAATCGGTGTCTTAATTTCAAACTACCCTCAACTAATTTTCATTAAAAATTCAAACTACCTTATACTTATCCTATAACTGTTTCATATAGGACTCAATTCTGTTTAGAAAATTGTTTAAAAGCACCAATTGTTATGAAATAATAATAAAAATAAAACAAAAAGGAATACTTGTGTTAAGTAATGCTTGACAAATCACGAGTTTTAATTACACCTAAACAAAACATTTATACACGAAAGAAAAGAAATTAAAGCTTTCAAAAACAAAAACTTAATTAAAAATTAAACTGGACATGTTCATTGTACCTAAATTTGAAGAAAGTAACAAAAGACAATTTTTGGATATAACGGAATTTAGTTGATAGAGTAAGACTTGAAAATGGAACGGCGTGGTTTTAATGCAGAAGGCCTTATATGCGCACATGCACCGCATCATGCAGGCCTTAGGCTCTAAGGCCTGCATGAGTCTAACATCCCCTCTCATCCCTACCAACACGAGATAAGTCATTAGATGATTTTCATCATTCAAAAAACACTAATAAAGATGACCAGGTGAGAAATAGGGATCATCACAAAATGAATGATGTGTAAACATAAACAAATGATATAGAAATAAATTAAATTATACCATATAAATTGTACAGAATGGAATGATACTTCAGTATCTTGACACAAATAACAATTACATTATAATCCTAAAACCTTGGCAGTATTATGTAATAGTCGACCTGTCATACATTGATATTAACAATATGCCTAAAATTTTATGCCTAGCATACAAATTGAACATATTAATAACAGACTGAGGCTAGTCAAAAAATGAATAATCTGTGCAGCTATAAAAGTTGCAATTTTAATAGCTTTTTTTAACTATACTTCATAGAGTAAGATCTAACTCTTGATAACAAAAATTATATTGTTGTTGACGCAATAATTTTCCCAACGCCTTTAACTTTAAAAAGTACACTTACTTTTGTCACACACAATAAAAAAACATATTTGCAAAAAGAGACAACACCTTAATATACTTAAGCTAAGTAAAGCTCTTTTTGCAAATATGTTTTTTTTCAGATGACATCTACAAAACTCAATCGACTTGTGCCAGATCAATTTAGTTAATGAAAATAAATAAATGTTAAGTAGTACTAACATTTTCACATTGCATAGTTACTATTTTCAATCCCAATTGTCCTCAATCCAGCTGCTACTATTTCCTACTCTTCTTCTTAGACCCCTTATCTGCCCTCAACTGGTCCTCTTCATCCATCTTGGTATAATGTGACTGTATATGAGCTAATAGCTTTTTCTCCCTTGTAAAGTTTTCTCCACACATATTACACGAGTACTTACTGTCTTTGCTTTCTTTGACATTTTCTGCAGCATTTCGAACAGCTGAAGAAGTTGAAATTTGTGATTCTTGAATTATGTTATCGGTAGGTAAAACATATGAAGGTTGCAATAGTGGATCTACATTGATAAATGTGAAGAAGCCGGCGTCTTTTGGTGGAGCAACATCTTCTAATGTGACTTTAAATGGCTCTTTAGATTCTTCATTTTCTGGAACATCGGGTTTAGATCTTTTTACCCGTTTTTTAGGAGCTTCAACAGGTAGGTCTAAGGCTTTCGTTGATATAAGCAGTTTACTGGGATTTCCAGTTTGGACTACTGTGTAAGATTGCTTTTTCATGGCTGGTGTGGTAAATGCAGTTGGGGTAGCCATTGGCTGTTGATACATTTGACCAGAATGTGCAACTGTTTGGAATAATCCAACAGGGTATGGGGTTGATTTATCTTGTGGGATAGTAACATCTGGGTCATAGGACTTATGATTATCTCTCTTTTGCTCTTTTGACTTTACTTCTGATTCTGTTTCAGATTTACGCTTTTTACTCTTATTATTTTCTACTATTGTTGGAACTGATGTATCTTCTACCAGTGTAAACATGTTGTTTGGACCTGGCACCAATTTGAAGCGACCATTCAAGTTTGGTGCACTTGGTATATGTACTGAAGGTGTTTGAACATTTGTTTGTAATTGTTGGGAATCAGAACTATGTGATGGCCCAGGATGTGTATTATCATTTTCCACACGTCTCGTTTTACTGGCTGGTCCAGCTTTAGGTTTAGGTTTTGGAGCAGGCTGAACTCTCTGCTCTTCTTGTTTGTTCTCTTCTCCACTAGACTTCTCACCATCAGTACTGGACCCATTACTATTATCATTGCATTTCCAAGACTGTGATTGTTTTGCTGTATTACCGAGTGTAATATATTTAACAGTCGACACCTTAGGTGCTTCTGGTACAGGCACTACTTTGGGAGTTTCCACTTTAGGTACTCCATTTTTAGCACAATGATGAGATTCTACAACTTCTTTTTTTAAAAAGTTTCTGTTACACAATTTACATTGAAATAATACACCTACTCCATTAACTTTGATCATGCTTATATGATCCATGATATTAAATGGTTTTTCTGCTGGCTTTTCCTGTTTTTTATCAACATCCTCACTAGACGTTTTTTCTACCCCATAGTCAAAACTAAAATTGTTTATCAGAGGATTGGTGTTGGGTTTGTTAGCAGGCTGATTTTCTTCTCTTTGGGATTTTTTAGAACTGCTAGGCTTTGCTGGTTCTACATTATTACTAAGAGTTTTGGCTTGTTTATTTTGTTTATTCCCGGGGCCTTTCTCATTATTCTTCAACATTTGTGACTTAACATCTTTAAGACTAATGTTACTGTCTTCATTGTCAGAAACTGCTTCAGTTTTAGACCCAGCTGGTTCAGTTCTTCGGGTAACTCGTTTATTTGGTGGAGGTGATTTTTCTTCCACAGGTGGACTAAGAGGTATATTTTTGATACCCGCCATGGCTTTCATTATCAAAGCGTCACAAATATCATCATTACTCATATTATTTTTGTTTAGCTTTTCTTCCCATACTTTTACAGTTTTGGCTTTAGTAATTAAAGGACCAGTCTTACCTATTGCTTTCTGTAAACTTTCTTGTGTTTTAATACATTTTTGTATAAATTCATGTAGTTCTTCTAATTTTGCTGAGCAACGGAAACATATTTTGTGTGGGAGATCATCATTTTCTGCAATCTGTAAAACAAGATTGAAGAATCACATAAATACCAAGATAATTTCTTAACAAAATGCCAACCAACAGACCATAACCATGAGATGGCATGCTTACTATTAATAATAAGGTACATATTATCATTTGTTGTCATATTTTATGTGGTAAATGTGATATTTTAAAGAGAAATTGGGTGTGGTATAATCTTTACTAATATTAATCAGTAATCTTTGAAACTGCAGGTTGGATTGCCAAAATTCTCTCACTGATAGATAGCTACAATGTTCCTGAGTGTTATTGGCTATAAAACATCACACTACAATCAAATAGGGCTGCATAAACAGCAGGTGAAACTAGTAGCTAGTAGTTAATAATATGTTAGGAATAAATATGAAGACAATGTTTCATTGCATAGAAATTTATAACCTTTCTATTTTAATCTGAACTTCTCAGGTTGTACTGCATAGAAACTCAAGTGGTGACAGATAAGGAAACATGTTTTTGCTACCAAATCTCCTACCAAATTATGAACTGACTTTAATGGTTATGAACTTAAAGTGTTTTCTTGAACATTATATATTATCCTAGTAATGGGGCTAATTTATTACTTGCTAAGATTTGAGGTTTTTACAGACAGCAGCAGCAGATATATAAAGTACTATTATGGTCTGTCAGTTGTTCTCCTTATGGTTGGGAATCTCATAAGGTTTTCTGTGAATAACTTTCAAAACTGATACAGTGACAAACTCAATTAATTGAAAATAAGGGTGGACTTTAAATTAGTACCCAAACCTCTCCTATGGGTAAAATGTTGTCTATATATTAGCTTGTTTGCTTAGATTGAATAGGCTGTGAAATTTGTAATTCTGTGAAACTTCAGAAAATTATGGGGATAGCTACACTATATTCCCCTATCCATGTGGAACTACAAATCTAACAGATTTTCTACTTTATTACTATTACTTTATGGTTGTATGAACAACGTACAACAGCATTAGTATTAAATCCAGTTGGTATAAACACTTTCCAATCAGCTGATTGAATGATGTTAAAAGTTGCTAAGCTTAGATAGATTAGTTAGCCACGTAAATAACAAGGCCTAGATGATATGTATGCTCTTACATCTCATTTGCTAATACATGTCCAAATAAATATATTTCATGCTTACCCCAAAAGGCATTAGTTCCTCGATCTTTTTAGCAGTCACTTTGTCAGCATCGAAAATGTTCAAAAAAGGTCCATCTTTACTTTCACACAGACGACATACTTTCATAAAGACTGGTGGAGATGGTGAACTATATGTGTCGGCTAATACTTTTGAAGTCAAATTCTCAGGAATAGATGATGGCTTAGGCGTTTGTTTCACTTTGGGTTTAATCTTTTTCTTAGCCATTTTGAAATTGTTCTTTTTACTATCTCGACCCTAAACTCGTGGTGTTGTCATGCAGTGAGCTCTAAATAGCACTTTCAAGAGTTAGATGCAGCACAATTAATAACATTCATTCAGTATTTTGTTTAAATTCAGATAAATCTCACAGTTTTGATAATATCAACGAAAAATTACAACACATAGAACAACATGGCTGGCTGTAAGAATGTCAACTTCATGTCAAAATAATCCACAGAATAAATACATGTAAACAAAATAAACAATTGCCATTCAAGAACGAAAAAAAAGTTCTAATACACATATGGCCAAAGATGGCACTATAACACTATCCCTATCCCAGTTTACTAACACTAACAATTCTTCTATCACATCAGAAATATTTTTTTCGCTGCATATTAAATTTATGCACTTACACTTTTTTTTTTTTGTGAGGGGAAAATCATCAAATTACTTCTCCCGCCCAGGGCCGGGCAGGAGGGAGTGTCAGACTCTTACTGACTAAAAACCCCCCTGTTTCTTCTCCTGCTCTGTGCCGAGGTCGCGGTACCTCATTGCGCTTACCCCGCAACCCCGGCTATGCACTTACACTTAATGGAACATTATTTGATATCGTCAATGTACCTCACGCCTGCTTACCAAATAGATTTTCAAAATATTTTTAGTCTTGTTCTAAAACTATAAATTATATTTCACTGCTATGCACTCACTACTCCTGAAATGATCCCATTTATCACCAAGAACATACAAATATTTGAAAATCAAAAGATTATTAGAATATCCAATAAAATACAAATTAAAAAATAATGTTCTTTAATATATTTCAATGCATATTATAATAAATTAACTCTATATCATTATAAATTTCCATAGTAATTAATTAGAAGCTTCTTTTAAATAGGCTATGAGATCTGCTCGTTCTCCCGCTTTCTTCAGCCCAGCAAAAACCATTTTTGTACCTGGCATGAATTTCTTCGGGTTCTCTAAGTATTCAAAAAGAGTGTCCTCGTTCCAGACAATTCCTTTTGATTTATTGGCTTCTGAATACGAATAACCCGGTGCCTGGCCCGACTTACGACCGATAAAACCATGAAGGTTGGGCCCCACTTTATTTTTGCCGCCAGATTCAATCGTATGACATTGGGCACATCGTTGAACAAATATTTTTTTCCCGAGTTCAGCATTTCCAGTTGGTACGCCCATTTTCCATGATTTTATTTTTCACGAAAATTGGAATCTAACGATTGACGTTTACTCACAGCATACAAAATTTAACAAACTTCAATCATTTATATTTTTTTATAACAATCACTCACAAATTCTGTCTGCATGTGCAAAGAGGATGCACATGCAGACAGATTTCGACCACTTCCATATTCTTGATGTGGCGGCGATAATTTTTATTGCGAAATAATGTGACCTGGTTGTAGCTGGAACTTTTTTCTATTACAGGTTTGTAGTCGCATCAATCTTATTTTTGTATCAGTAACTACGTAGACCATATAATAGGCAGACCACGGAACGAACGAATTTTAACAAGAGAAACAATAAAGTACTTACACGTATACTTCAATAGATTTTTCAGATCTAGAGCAACAAACTATTCTTTATTTTGGATTGAAGAAACTGCAGAATAATTAAATATTTTTTATCTATTGTAAAATAATATTTTTTTCAGTACAACTTTTTCTATATAGCAACATTCTAGATCCCATATCCGCCATCTTGAATTTAGTATTGTGCCAGTCGGGGGGGCGGTGACATATTTTTACCCGTCATCGTCGTAATTTTGTGAATTTGTTGGAAAAACGCGAAAATAAGTGTCGTTACGTCGTGTAAATAGTTTATGTCAGGACTGAACGTGAGGATGGCGGGTCAGACTATAAACGATAGGCTTTTGGCCGCCCGCCACAGCATCGCCGGGCAGGGTTTAGCTAAATCCGTTTGCAAAGCTACTACCGAAGAAATGATAGCGCCCAAAAAGAAACATTTAGATTGTAAGTACTATTATGGTAAAATGCATCCGTTTCAGCGTCACTTTCGTCAAGCACATCTTTTTTTTGGTCAATAATTGTGACGACGTCGTCGCCACAGCGACTTTGCCAATGGTCGATAACATTTCTATGATATTGAATGTAATCCGTGACGATGGCATTCAAGTTCATAGAAGGCGTACAATGTGTCAATAAAACAATAATAAGATAATGGCAATTGAATTCGCATGTAGAATGTCGAAATATTTTTACATAATGTTGTTTCTCACGATTGTGTGGCTCGACACACATTACCTAAGTTATGTCATGTTATACTGGAAATAACGTGCGGCTTATAAAAAATCTGTCTACCTACATATCGATTTTATGTAAGGACCTATGTAACTGGTGAGGATCAGTATTAAACTTGGTTCTAACTGGGTGTTGTATTTATCAGGCAAGGCAAGATATAGCTACCTAAGTTTTTAATCATCCAGAACCATTTTAGCTACATGTTTTTATGTTGTACTTTAAGTTTAGTCAAATACAAATATCCAAGCAATGTACAGCTATCACTATCACTATCTCTATTGGAATCTGATTAGATTATTAATTATTGACACAGCCTTTCAATACATTACATCCTTCTTCATTTCTACCCTACTCAACCATTAAACCTAGAAAAGTACATCACTTAACCTCTTCCCATAATTCTGATCACCTTACACCTGTAAAATATTTATGAAATTTAATTTTTAAATATCCAATTGGTATCTGATTTTTATTTAGAGTAAAGTAGGTAAATTACACAACCATATCACCCATATGCTTATGTTAGTGCATAAACGTTAACATTAACTTAACACCAGTTAAGTAGTGAAACTTAAAAAAAAGTACTGTGTTGTCAGTCTTGATTACCAATTATCTTCAAGTCCCTGCAATATAAACATAATTTTATCTGTCACAACAAAAAAGTTATTTCATAATAATTATTATCATGGTACTTCAGTCACTGACATAAGAACCCCCACTTTTTTCTTTTTTATAAATAAATATAAATGTGTAAATAAAAACTGTTTGTTTTTGCCTATTAAATTTCTTAATTCACTGCCTAAATAGCTTTACATAATGCTCACATTAATGGCATTTGATATTTTAGTTTAAATAAAATAAATACTTAAATATATTAGGTATATAATTTGCATGTCACCTTAACCATGACACCAGACCATTCAAGTTTTTACAGAGACAGCAAAGTACAGAGATAATAAAATAATATCCTTCTTAAAAAGTATTTAGCAGAATCATAGTAAGATATTGTACTATGAATATTAAATTATTCAGTATAGCTCGATCACATGTTCATATAAAACATGTTCTGCTAAAATATTCCTACATTAGCATGCAACCAATGTATTGCATGAGTCATCCTTTAACTGCATGTCTGGTTGAATGTCTGACACCCCATCTGTTACTGGTACACAGATTATTACAAGTGACTCCAATCTACAAGTTAATTAATGAACTTTTTTTAACACTGTTGCGATGTCAACAGCTTAAAAATAGATTAAGTTATGTTTATGCAAACCTTTTTGTTTGACTCGGTCAATATTTGTAGTTGAATAACCTTAGTTTTTTTATTATGTTTGTACAGTTAGCTAATATTTTTATTTTAGAAATATTAGTCATCATTAAATATTAGCATTTATTTCTAAGCTGATATTTATTGTTATTTTATTCGAAGGTTTTGTTTAATTCAGCATCAACACCTTAAATGTTTTCCTATTTCTATAGTAAAGTAAAGAAAGGTATGTTATGCTCTTCACATACATGCCAAAATTACAATTCAACACAAAACAACATTTTGCAATATGGACTAAACATTTAAAATTATCTAATCAGCTTCTTAACAGGTTTCTGTCACTTCAATGCATTCAATGATTAGCTAATATTACAATTCTTGAGTTGGCCAATATCTAGGTGAGAACTATTTCCATAAATTTGTGTACAAAGTGTTGATAAGTCACAATATTTATTACAAACCATTAGCAAGTTTTCATTCATGAATTTAGCTCAGTTTGGTCTATTACTTTTGGGTGTTATAACCTATTTTCATAGAACCTTTACTATGTTTGGATAATTAAGTCACTATAAGAATCTAACACACTTTAGTATTATGCCATTAATTAATAATTGGATAAAATAAGGAAATAATAGAAATAGCCATCTGCCACGGTACTTTTGAAATGGATGGAAACCATACAGTCATATGTTTTTACAATTAAGTACAAGTGTAATTAAAGGTACATATTATGATGACAATGAGGAAAACGCAAATTCCGTATTTAATTTTCTATTTTAACATTTAATTGAAGAATTGTTATGACTAATAACTTTGTGGGTCAGTGAAAGGATGACTATGTTTTGCCTATACATGTTATATGGTCCACTGCATGTTGTTTCTGTTGTAGCTACGAGAGATATTGTGTGCTTTTGTTATGTTCTTGATGAGAATAGCCAATGTATGTGAAAGTTGTGTTGAACCAGCAGAGTGTGACATAGCAAATTCAATAAAAAAAATTGCTGTTTTTTCAAGGATTCAGCCCTAAGCTTTGTTAAGAATTACCTATCTTCGAAATTGGGTTAGTTGGTCGTAAGTTCAGAGATCACTTTTCTATGACTTTTCGGAACTTCGACTCGCAAGTGTAGTGTCGTGCAGCATGTGATTTGAAACACTCAATCATGGACTTGTTAGTAGTTATAAATAAAGAAATTGCAATGATTCAAAGAGCTATGTTAAGATTTTCCTTGGTGGAATACATACTTACGTGCATTTTTACATTTTTCAGTATTTATTGGTAGGTTTGGTAAAGGGTATTTTAGTAGTTACAACATTGTAGGCAAGTATGTAATTCTAAACGTGTGTGAGTGGGCGGACATACTGCCATTTGTCTAAACATACAAAAAAAAAAATTACAAATAAAATGTCAGGCAATCGCTTTTGGATTTCTAAATCAACAATATAAAATTTTCTTAATACGATTAACCTTTACGAATAAAATAAATTGAATCCGGTTTTCCGGCGTCAGTCAATTCCAATTTACGTTATGTTTTCAACAATCCCCTATTCAGGGTTGAAAAGATTGGCGACATTTTTTTTTCAAAGGTATCCATTGTTGCTATCGCGTTCAAAATACTGATATTCTCTCTCTGTAACAATTGGATGTTACATTGTATCTGTTCGGGACGTTAATTGGTCTGATTGGAGTGAAATACGATAAGCAGGACAGGCTCGTTTCCTGTCCAGCTATCATATCAAATTGTCGTACTGTTCTCTGGAAGCTTCGGAGTTAGATAGTATTTATTTATATTATTGTTTACAATCAATGTTTCCTCCGAAATTAATTTACGTTAATTGTTAGTGACCGCAGAAATAATCTCGTCACCACAAGAGTGATAAGCTATCCATGAGGAGATTGTGATTTAAAAATACTATGGTTATTATAATTATTATACCAGTACCATGTGTTTCACCAGTTAACACGGTAACGCTGGCTAGCGATCCGTTAACTTGACCGACCGCAACTTGATACCCGTAAAAATCTACGATAATGACCTGATTCTGAACGCCATTTACACAAATGCGCCCAAACCCCCAAAAAGGTGGCAGATGAAATTTTTTAAGCTTTGAATTTTAATTGGCGATAACGGAACACATTATTTAATTTGACGGTATTCTAAATCTGTTCTCTTCTTCTTCTTTTTGAAGGAGAAAACCATTGAATGGCTTCTCTCGCCCAATGTAAGGCAGGAAGCAGTACCATACTCGTACTGACTAAAAAACACCCCTTTTCCTGCTCTAGGCCGATGCCATCGTACCATATGGCGATTGTTCCACAACCCCGGTTAAAAGGTAGATCTGTTGGGATGTATTCAAAATTGGAGCTTAGACTGACACTTCGTTTTGTCTAAAAATACATAGCTAATTTTGGAGTTTTAATTCAATGATTTAAGCACTCCGTTGAATGAATGGATTTTTCTCTAATTATGCAAAACGCACAACGATATTAGAATATAAATGTAGTGTACAGTGTCTGAATATTTGATGGAGTTAGACGTGTCGAATGCAGATTAAAAGTGTTGATATGCGTTTTGTGTCATTCATTGTTTTTAATGAAATAATGCTGTTTGAAATAAGACAGACAATAAAAAGTAATCTTACCCTAAACATAACATCACTTTCTCTTTATTATGTCTAAATATCTGAATTGATATAGTACCAAAATCATTGTCATGATTTGCCACACAATAAGAATGACCTACACTGACCAATTCCCTGAAATCCTAACACATTAGACCACTTACAGAGTAATTAAACCCAAAATAGGTAGGTATGAGCTAATTCTATATACCCCTACCCAATGAGGGTCTGACAAACACTAAAATAAACAGTATAATGTTTCTAGACGTTTCTATCTAAATATATTGAGAACTCGACAAATATTTTCATTCGAGCTATCTAGGCGCCGCTGCTATTTTTATTAAGGGTCAATTAATTTGTTTTCTTACAGCCATTTTTGCATTGGACTAGACAATTCAGTTTATTGGGTCAACACACCGACTAAGAGTGGTTTGGACCATAATAAAAGATTTCTCGACTCTTGAATTTCAACTAAGCATTTCAAATAAATGCGTTCTATTGTAACTTTCGCAGTTATCTAAAGATGTTTAGTATATAAAAGAATACGCTACAAGCTACACCCCAAAAAGGTCCTTATGAATTGTGTTACATCTTTGCGATTAACTCTCCGCGTGGACTGTTGGACCGTTTTGACAAATGAGATGTGTATCGATCCGTCTACAGTCGCAGACTAGGTCGTCAGAGCGCCAGGGCGGCAGGCTTAATATTAGCTATTCAGTCAGCCACAATTTACTAAAACTGTAGTGAATACACTTTCTCGAAATCCTCTAAAATCTGATTTAAACAAGCATTTGCGAAAAACCCATATAAAATAAAGGGTTCTTAGCAAGAACATCTTTATTGGTTCTGCGTTTAGGTTGAGATTGCAATTTGCCAAACTGTTCCATAATGCCACTTGTTATTGGACGCAAGATTACCATACAAAAGCATTTATTCTCTAAATAAAATTTCTTGGAGTCGACCGTTTGTCATTTTTATGGCATCGTCTTCCGTTGTATTTAATTATTTATTTTCCCCACACAGTAGAAGCCTTGAGGCCTATGAAAAAGCTATTGTTTGTTACGTTGTTAAGTTGTAATAGAGTTCTCATTGAGTAACGTCTTGCTTTCTATCTGATATGAGCTTAAATTAATTCATTATTCATCTTTATTATCACTGAGGAAAATGAAACGAGGACTTTTTTTTGACGAGGAATCACGCCTTTTTTGTTAAAAACAATATTATATATTTTATCTAACATTTAATGCATTCTTTTTGATATGTATCATCGAAGTTTTAACAGATAAGTAATTTATCGATCGATAACCTGAAACAAGAATAACATGACTGACTCAAAATTATCATTAGTTTTATGACGTCACGTGATTCGACACGTAACGTTACATGGCAAACTGTCGTAAATCCACGACACTTGACATAATATTCAATTAGGTGTTTCCATTCGCAGCTTTCGTAACGAAATAATAGTTTACTATTAGGTCAAGTGCGGTACGTAATAAAAATTTGGTTCCGCTGGTCGGCCTGGCCTTCACCGAGAGCGGTGTAATTGTCTTTTTTCTATGCCTGTTGTCTATTGCTGAAATGCAAAAGTTTTTATTGTGTGCCATCATGCACGAGGTGACTGGTTATGGGATAACAATGGCATGGTCACTTGATGACCTTTGAATCGTTGATGGGGGAACAACTCGGATGTAAAAAAAATATGAACAAACAACATATTTGAAATATAAAATTGTTGTTCAAATGGAACCGCCTTTCCCCAGTCCCTGTTTTTACTTGTAATTAATTTCTTTGCGCGCTATAAGACAGTTTAATGAGTTCTCTAGAAAAAGGTCAAGATTGCTGTACCCTTTTTTGTAAATGTACTGCTCTGAATTTGCCCTTCTGTCTTGTCTCGTATTGGTAAAATAATGGCCGACCTAAGTAAATACTCCCCCGTGCCATTATTTCCAGTCTTGATATTTCATTGTTAATGTAATTGCTAACAAAACTGAAGTGCTAATTGATACTAACTCTTTGGAGTTGAGGTCATAAAGTATCCGGCTATTTTATGAACTCCCGTTTCCCAGTAATGCTCAGTGTTATTGAAATATCGGGCACTTAATGTTACTTCGTTTTATGCTATCGTATCAAACGCTTGAGTCGTTTGCACTCCGGGGAAATAGCTGTTTAATGAATTGTAGATTTCCAATATGGGATCGATCATTACGTAGAGAATCCATCACGGTTTCGCGATGCGCTGATGTCGCTCTATGGTACTCGGTTTCACATTCTGAATGAGCACGAATTGTTGTGCCATTGGTTGAATGATAAGACATTGAAAGCAATTTTTCTTGTCATATGTACAATAATGATGTGCCACGTGTTTAGTATCTATAATCTAATTATTTATGTATAAATTTTGTGTGAAGAACTATTTTATGTTTTACAATAATTAGATTCAGACCGTTACTGTGTAAATGAGTCGGCTCGATCGGATTAATACCACGGTCTCACAGAAAGCTGGCGTGAACCAACTATAGCGTTGTGTTTCGCCGTGTAAATGTGATTACCACAGCCAAACCTTCCCATAACCCCCCAAACCATCATATCCAAAAGTATTGCCGGCAATGCACTTGGAACTAACTCCTCTTTTGTTGCAAGTGTCCATAGGCAGCGCCGTTTGCTTAGAGTTATCCATTAGGTAACTTCTATGCTCGTTTCCCGACCTACAATAAAAAACAAATACTGTTAGCTTGCATTATGTTCTGAAGGTTTCTTATTGGACACAAAGGTAACGATCTTTCTATTGAAAGATCAAATGAAATCTCAGATTATTTAAGATTATACTCAAACTGTACAAAAGGATGGACTGTCCCATGCCAAAGGTCAACATAAATGCCGAGTTGTGAGTGGTTATTAATTGTAAAACTACTTTTTTTGTCTCGTAACTTGTTTGACGGAAGATTTTGTCGCTAAGGTTATGTAATGTGAGGTTTATATGTTTATAAATAAGGTTATTTATTCTATTGCTTGTATTTGCCTTTATCTGCTTAAATAAAAAAAAATGTGTGAGAGACCTATGCTTCGGCACGAATGGGTCGGCTCAACCACGGCCTTACAGAAAACCGGCGTGAAACAACCTAAGCCTGGTCTTTCGCCGTGAGACTGAGGTTACTAGAGGCCCAATCCTGGAAGGATTGGGCCTTTTTATATATATTTTTATATTAGGGGAGGCCCAATCCTGGAAGGATTGGGCCTCCCCTAATACATTCCCAAAAAAGTCGGTAACGCACTTGTAGCTCCTCTGTTATTGTGGGTGTCCATGAGCGGCGCTGATTGCTTGCTTACCATCAGGTAATCCTTCTGATCGTTTCCCGTCCGTATCACATAAAAAATACAGATATAAGATGGAAAGTTCCGTGTGTGTACTAAACTATTTCGATACACTAACAAACTAACGTACAGTTACTGGTTTACTTCCAGAAGTTAATTATATCCATTAACCGAGCAACAGTTCACTACCTGGAGAATTGAATTATTTAAACTCCATTTCTGGGACAGTTTATAATGAAATAAACCTTACGGAACTCTCAAATTCTGAATAGCTTCTTATACTACCTAATGAACTACCTATCCATTTTATGAAATAGTCTTCTTGTCAACATTGTAGTACAAATTATTAGATACAATTTTTTAAGTATTTTTTGAAGAAAAAAAGGATTCATTCATAAAGCATTGCCCATGATTCTTTAGTACTATAACTAAAGGTTTACATCAAATCGATTACATTTTCATAGTAGTTCCAACATTTGATTATAACAGCTCAAAGGCAACACTAATGGATATTAATTAGGGCTTTTATAGCGTGTATAGGTTTGCTTTCGGTAGTAAAACGTGACATAATTTATTCTATACCATAAATGTTCCATTACATGACTTTTAACTTGAACATAAACGTACCTTCTAACGGGACGGTTTCAGAGGGATTTAAGATACATTATTAAGCTTTAATTAAATTAAAAATCAGGAGTCTTGGTCCATTTCATTTTCTGACTTTTTGCTCAGGTTTTTCTGCACGTGAATTTTTTACTTATTAGACGCTACGTGGAAGAAAAGCAATTACAATCAAGCTTAATCATCAATGAAAGTTTAGTAGTTTATGATATCAACACTTTTACCAATCAACCTGTTATTGTTACCAAGCGGCATATCAACGAAATCCAATACGACACCAATATTCAAATTAAAGTAGGCTTAATACCTATCTAATGATATTGAATATGGTATGGAAAAATAATATGCTTATGACCAAAATCATGTGTTTAATATCCAAATTGTGTCTGGATTAGATATTATGATCACATTAATAACATCTGTTTATTTATCTCGAACTACAAACTATTAGTATTGAATTCACCGTAGTACCTATGAATGATAATTCCTGTTATGATGGCACTGTTTAGTTACAAAAAAAAAATGTTTGCCGAAAACTGATAAGATTACTTTACTATCACTGCGCGACCGTGAACCGCACATTATGCGTCATTTGGTAGTAAAGAATGAATGAGATTAGTAATGCTTAGGCTAATATGGAACTGTTAGAAAGTTTTGCAATACGAATTAAAATGTGGAATTTTGGAAACAAATGGAAAAATTCTATATCACTTCACTACATAGTATAAAACAAAGTCGCTTTCTCTGTTCCTATATCCCTATGTACGCTTAAATCTTTAAAATTATACACGTACTATTTTGATGCGTTTTTTAAATAGATTGAATGATTGAAGAGGAAGGTTTATGTGTATAATAACTAACATCCAATAAATAGTGGAATAATTTGGTACCAGCATAGCACCCGTTCATAGGTAGGCTAGCTAGCTTTAGCTGTGAAAATGTTCTTAACCAAAACAGGCCTGTTTTTGTCTGAAGGTGCTGTTTACTGGCACTAATCAGCAGCGATGATTTTCCTTAACTCACTTTTAGACACGTTATTTTATGACTTTAATATTCTCACGTAAAGAACAAGGATCGACTTTATTACTTCAAAATTGCGTAAAATGTAAAACTTTGTACTAAACATAAGGTGAAACTAAACGTTTGAGACCGAAAAGGGACTTTGTGCTATTCATTTGTAACCAATAAGTAAAAACCGCTAAAGAGTGAAATTCTTTGTCGAAGTCTGTGTTCCCCGAAGGGTACCTATATATGTTTAACCTGGATATCTTAAGGGCCCGAGTAGACAGGTTGCTTACTGGTAGGCGTACTACATCGTAAGTGCATCATCGCTTGCCTCGCATCATCTAAATGCCTGCCCATTTTAAACAAATAAATGCTCTATCTACACTTACCCCACAACGCAAAATATTGACCAGTACTCTTTTGTTTCCAGATCTAGTCCACTGCACAAACGAGCCCAACGTGTCGATACCACAGCTCGCCAACTTGCTGGTAGAGCGCACACAGAACACCAACTGGGTGGTGGTGTATAAAGCTCTAATAACTGTACATCATCTACTAGCATATGGGAATGAGGTGAGAAATTTTTAAAACAAATATAGAGGTTTACTTGATACCCTTAATGTCGATTTTCATCGAATATTATGATACTAGAAAGAGCGTGTAGATGTGTGATAACTTAGAGTGGTGATAAAGGGTGTTGTCTGGACTGGGTGGTTTATATATTTATTTGACTACACGGTTGGTGCGGTGCGGTGGCTGGGAAACGGGCTGCCGCACAACATATTGCGGGTTGGATTTCCGCACGGAACAACTCTATGTGATCCAAAAATTGTCGTTCCGGGCCTGTGTGTTTGTATGTTTGTAAAAGCACCCACGATACAGGAGATGTGAAAATTCTAGTGTGGGGTAACTTTTTTTAAAGGACAAAATACAGAGAATGGGCTATGGCGAAAAAAAATCTTAGCTAAGACTTTTTGGTTGCGGTGTTTTATCCTTGTCTGTGCGACGACCAGATCACATTTGTGGGATATTGTTCTTAGACAGACCATTCACATGGAAACGATCAATCAATTCCGTGACCACGCAATCAGTTCTTTGGTAGCCCAGCCACATGTTACTCGTCACGTAAGACGTGTGCGCCATTTCAAACGTTAACATAGCCAATGAAATTGTTCAATGGAGCTCCGTCAGATTTCCAATACGTTACACACTGGGACATCAAACGGCTAATTGTGTACAAAGCCTTAGTTACGTTGGAACTGTATCAACAGTGCTGTTCCTATATGGAAATTGGTTAACCAGCTTCACTTTGGAGTTTATTAACGCTGGAGGTTTGCTAAAAGCTTTTAGCTACGATAATTTTGATGTATTAGAAACAATCAGAGTTGGAGGCTCGTTGTTTATATGTATGGTCGAAAAGGTTTTCAATATTCACAGTTATAACAAGAAGATGGGTAGAATAAGTACTGAAGTGATAATACTGTCAATGCAATACAAGCGGTCGCATAAATAGAAAAATAATACAATCAAAAAAAAACAATTCAAAGTTAAACCAACCAACTGTCTTTTAAAATTAATTTTGAAAGCAAAGCACGATAATTTAAGTCATGACGTCAGCAGACAGAAAAGGGGCAAATACCCACGTACCCTACATTCCCGATGCCAGTATTATTCCTAATCAGATGGAGGAGTTTCACCCTTTGTGAGTCACAATTACCCTACCGGATCGAAAGTTATCGGGGACTGGGTATTTTTTGTGATGAGAAAACCGAATGCACTCTATTGCTTTCATTTTCGCTCACTTCATTGTAGGTTTCTTTATTCCAATTTGCTTTTCGGTTTAAGAAAGACGTTTTTGGTAGCACAGCAAGTGCACCGTGGTGTTTTTACACATGTCCCCAGACCCAGCAGATTCACCACACTTATTTTACTTATATACAAATGTAGAAGAAGTCTTGAGTTAAATGGAGGCATGTGTCTGCGACTGCGACTGAGCTGAGCCACCTGAGCTCACTTATCTAACTACTACTCATATACTACCACCATATACTACTACTAACATAACTGATGATAACTAGGCGTATTATGGATACTACACCTAGTTCTCATCAGTTGTGTGCAAGCACTTAACATGGAATTTGGAGATAACTTCATAGCCGACTCCATCAGTACCATAGCTGGGTTTTCATCCAATCATCTTGTGTTCCAACATCCCATAATTCCCCTGTTTACTAGATAGACTGTTTACGTGTTCTTTATAGACTTTTATTTATTTATTTACTGGCAACACCGCTTTCCTCCAAAGAATTTTATGAGGCCATCTGCTATCATGGAGTTGACTTTTAAGTCTTCCTAGATGAAGTCATGTTAACGAATTTTTTTAAACGGTAAAACGGTGTTTTTCTTTTCGGTCAGTTACACTGGAAAAAATATTTTAATTAAACTAACCTCTGTTTATTTCTCCAGTGAAAATGTTATTTTTTGTGTAAGATTACGTGGTATCTTTCGGTAAGCAGCTAAAACCAAGAGCACAGTAAAAAGTATAGGTGTTTTGGGTTGACCACATTTATTATTTACTTTCCTTGTTATACGTATTGTATTAGAATTGGAATTTTGAGGGGCATGAATTTGCCAAAACGTGGATTATGTGTGCCTATTCTTGTAAACGCAAACTGAGTTATTGTTTGTCACATAATTTATGTATGAATGCTTGTTTATTCCCACGTAAACCTGAATGTACTTTGTGAATAAAACGCAGGTATTTATCAATGAGTCACGATTTTGCCATAGCTGGTATGTTTAAAGTTTATGGTGCCTATACTTATTTATATGGAAAATACGAGTCAATATAGTAAAACTAGAACTATGGAATGATTTCCGACCTTTTGTTAAGTAAAGGTCTCTATAACCAGTCTCTTTGATCTTATTACGGGCAATTGCGTTTGTTGTGTTGTGGTCTGTTCTCCATGTCAAGGAAGACCCTTATTGGTTTATAAAAACTATAAACCATTTAAGAGAAACCACTCTTTTAAATGGTCGTAACCTCTGTTTCTCTATATCAGTGATTACCACGAACAGTAGCCTCCATCGAGTCAATTCATATTATCCATGTTGAGTCAATGATACCAAGATTTCGACCCGCTTAAGCATCACACCGATCCATTATAACGTCTTGATTTGATTGTAGCTTCCATTACCAGAATATGCTTTGATGCTGTTACCCATATTATATTATATTCATTCGCAAACATACTCTCGGTTGCGTATTTCTTTCATTCTAATGTGAATCCATATTTCCTTTACGATACGCAAGGGAATGTATCTTCGCTTTTGTGTAATATCTTAAGTAGGAGGTGGTCTGGAAAAAGAAGATTAATTTTAATCGAGCCTTTAGCACTTGACCTAAATGTGTTAATGGAAAAAAATCAATATCGCCTGGAGTCGACTGATCAATGCGCAGTCCATGAACTCTGTACTGATTAATGTGAATCATTCAATTTCTCGCCTATCAAATCACGGTATGGAGGTCAAGACGTTTATCATCACATCGGAAAATATGCTCTCGAACGGGGACTTTTTAATGTCGTTTCGCAGAACCTTGTTCAGTCCCCTTATCTGTCAATGTCAACAATCGCGTCCAACAGCTGGAAACCTAATGCAATCGCCCTCTGTGTAGGTATACCTACCATACCATGAATGCAAAACTGATTAAGTTAGGCTAATCTGAGAGTCAGATATCGTAAATTTTTAATTGTTTTACGGAACGACCGATTTTCTTTCGGTTATTTTGTTGCCAAGGAAAAGTGCGACTGTTAATGAAATCTGCGTAAGGTTGTATTAAATCTCCTTGAAATTAAAAGTGTGGCTTATTTTTTTTAACACATTTAGTGTTGGGAGAAAAACAGAAATAAACCTCAAACACTTATTCGATATTTTAAGTGGGTTAAAAATGAATGTTTAAACGACACGTCAAGTCCTTGAGAAAAAGTTGACACAGATACGAAAGTGAACGTCTTAATGATGCAGTGTCTTCTTGATATCAATCAGATGCTACTCGTGACCCCTTACTATAAGGTAGTTAATCAACCAGACGTGTATGTCGTAATACAATGACAGGCGAGAGGCGGGGCTCTACGTAACAAGCACCTCAACAACTTTGCAAATAAAAAAACATAAACGTCATAGTCACTGACAGCTAGCTGCAATGTTGCCAAGTGCGAAAAAAGTTTGCGTGTTTTTGAATGCTAAAAACGTCATGCGTAGGTGGTTCTTTTTTTAAATGTTGAGAGATATGAAAAGCGGCGTTCTATTTATTTTTTGTTTACGGTCAAATGAATAGGCATACAGTATTTGTTTATGTGATGGGGATATGATTATTTAGAAGTTGTCTTGTTTATTGTAGCGTATATACTTTGAACGAGTTAAACTTATACACTAAAATCGTAATTTTATGACAAGTCTTTGAAACGTCTTTAATCTCAGATGTACGTAACAGTGTAAATAAAATTTCATATTTACCTACACGAGCCTGATAGATTGTTTTCAGTGTTGTTGCACAATTTTTTTATTCGACCTGGTGCCTTATCAAATATTAATTTACAGCGTCACGCTATGGCTATTAATTCTCCATACAAAGAGCGGCCCAAGCGCAACGAAATACATAATGCCATTATGTAATTTATTTCCTGTATTATTGTTGTCACTGTGTCAATATTTCACCAGGTCTGCAGTTTGCTGTTTCGTAATCAGTTTATAGCATACAATTACAAATGCATCATCATTTTTATTTCTTTATCTTTCCTCTTAAGAACTTATCTTTCGGCTGTAGGTAAAGCTGAATACTTCATAATTTATTGGGTTCTAGTGAAATCGGAATTTATAAAAATAGGTTTGTCGTGCCTTATTTCGCCAAGCTATCGACCCTTACCTTGTACTTGTTACTCGCTTTTGGCAAAGTCAAAATCATTTATTTCAACTAACCATAAATAGGTACTTTTAAAACGTTAAAATAGAATAGTAGTCTGTCAGTCTGTTCGATAGTAAAGCTGGTTGCTCATTCCAAATTGTAGATTCGAATTGAGAAGAACGAGCAAGAAACTCCTTCATTACATTTACTAACCAACATGCCTGAATCTAAAACTAATTTAATAAACACGGTTTATACTATGTACTACTTAACTACATAAGCACTAGAAGGTGTTCTGTATTAGAAACTTGCCTTCAAATACCAGTTTAAATTCCCACGAAGCTACGAAGACTCCATACAGCTGTGACAGAGGCTGACAATTATGCAGGCTATCTGCTAGCCTCATCATTCCCAGCTATTAAAACATGCAATTAACAACCAAGTGTCTATAGGTTTAAACAGCACTTTAGTCTCATTTTTGCGTGACATTTCATTAATTAAAGTGAATGGTTATTGTAATTTATATTGAGTGAAACTATAGTATTAGTGTAGTCTTTTTGTTTAATAGAATGTCTTTTAATCAAAATAATTGTCTTGTTTTGATTCATTACTTCCCGCTTTGCACGGGTCTTACTATGTCGCTAACAACTAAAGGGTCACTTTTCCC